TACAAAGTGCAGGACACTCTGATCATCACTTATACATGAACTCATGTTCATGAAAAGCTAAAGTGCATACGCACCAGCAACATGGAAGCGGGATGGCAGTGATGCCACATTCCCGAGCCATCTAACACCAAGCAAATTTGAAGAAATAGATAAGGAAGATAAGGGGAACATAAACAGACAATGAGAGGAAATAACTCCTTTAGTGCTGTGCCGGTCTGCTAAAGCTGTCACCGTCACTGGGGCTGTGCCTGTGCAGTCACTACTGATTGTTTCTGCATGACAAGCTGGCGTAAACGCTAACCCGGTTATTCCCAATCTCCATCTGGGGTATGTAATCAGCTGCTATAATTAGGGAGCGAGCAACGTTGTTCAGTTTATTGCCGTTGTTTGAAATCAGGGGGTTGTGTTTGCGCTCATTGCAATTTAAATTTGTGGGGCACGTTTGTGATTTTGTGCGTTCCTTTGGAAACGATGTGCTGGCAACTGAAACAAAACAAGTCTTTTAGGATGTTATTTTATTTTGCTAAATTTCTCAGGGATAAATGACTGAGTGATGTGAAAAGAACCATGGGAAGGTCTCCTGTGCCTGGTCAAGGAGTTTCTCTAATAAGTTCCAGTTCAGGGCCCCTCTGAGTGAGTGCATCAACCCACTTCTTCTCTTCAGGACGGTACTTCAGCATCTGCTCAGATAGCAGTGGTGCAACGAGACGTAGCATGAATTTACCAGTAAGCAGTCAAATTGACTTTTCTTTCTTTGCTTCTTTTCTATGGATCAGTCCCGTATTGTCTTTCATGCCACTTTTGAACTTACACTAGCAGAGTCAGTAGATGGTATTTTGGGTGTGCTGCCTGGGGGAGCTCAGATGCGCAGCAGATGCTGATGGCTGCAGAGCCTGGCTCTGTGAGCGAGGGGGTGCTGCTGGGGCACTGCATTTGTTCTGCAACACATGGACGTCTTTTCTGGAGACAACCAAACCCCTGGACATGTTCCTGGATGATCTCTGGATGACCCTGCTCTGGCAGGGGTTGTACTGGGTCATCTCCAGAGGTCCCTTCCCACCCCTCCATGCTGTGAGTCTGTGACTCGCTGTGATGCTACAACACTGGGGCTGGTGACAGATGATGCTTGTTCCTTTTCCTGATCCCGTCTCAAATTCATTATGAAATAAGTAATTACTGAGACGAGGCTTGTGACTTGATGACTCTTATCCATCACAAAATAATGATGTTTTAATGCTGCCTGCTGTAGGATGCTCTCTAATACTGGTGATCTGCTGTCACCTCATCCATACATCAGAGAAGCATGCGTGTCTGATTGTGGTTTGGTCAGCTGCTGCACTGAAAATGAAAACCTAATTATTGTGTAGAAACGTGGATAAACACATCATATCAGTTATACTCAAACAAGCAATACCTTCTTGTGCATTAGTGAGGAAGTCCAGCTGTAACCCATGCGGTGCTGGCCAGTATTTCTGTAAATGAAGAGCAGAAGTGGTGTTTTGGTTGCTGGGATTATTTTTCTTTGTCCTGTGCTGACTTGGGGAGGGAGATAAAAAGATCCTGAGCAAACCCTTGTGTGCCCAGGGGTGCAGTGAACCATATTTGATAATTATAGGCTTCATACACAGATGCATTCAGGTTGATGGATCTACAGCAACAAATGCAGCAGGATTTGTAATGGTGCTGCTCATGCTAGGTCATCTCTACAAGTGTGCCAGCAAGGAATTCACACTTTATTTTAGCTGTGCAGCCTTCAAACACAGACATTTGGTCTGTCTGTTTATGTATTTTTGTCTTGTGCCAGTCCAGATAAGCAAAACTGTAATTGGTATTACCTCTCCTTACACCCTCCCACCATGCCCACACAGGCAGTCCCAACCGGCTTTATTTTGCACTTTCTGCATATTCAGAAGGTGGAAAAAAAAAAGAAATGCTCTGCTAGAAAACAAACAATATACTCCACATCACACTGAGTCATGTATCCCCTCCCTGGCAGAGCCCCAAGCATCACAGTCAGTCAGATCCTAGCAGTGCGAGCACAGAGCGAGGGATTAATTAAAACCAGTACATGTTAATGGAGCTCGATACTCGACTTCAGATTGCCTTAACAGACACCAAAAATATCATGGCATCAAACTGTCCTCCCTGGAGACCTGCTGGAGCTGCACGTCAGGGATACAGTGCTCCTGGATCCATGGAGGCTGCCTGCAGAAGCTGCCGTTAGCCCTTGACCTCTGGCCATGGTACAGTGACCATGACATGCTGCTCCTCTTCCCAGCACCCTCTTGAGGACCGAGAAGATTTTCACTGATTTCCCTGATGTATCTGACTCAGCACAGGCCTGGGATCCCTCCCAGTGCACCAAAATCCCCTTCGGTGGGCAATAGAGGAGTGCTTAGGTGGACGTGGCTGTATGAAGAAAGTCAGGTTGAGGTAGAGCTGGCAGCCCCAAGGGGTGCCCAGTTGAGGTATGAGGTCAGCAGCCCCATACGCTATGTGCTTGAGACATCTCTGCAGGTGGGGAGTGTGCAGTGACCTCTTCCAAGCATGGCTATGGCTCGAAGCTGCAGATGGTTTCCTCCACGAAAGCTGCTGCCTTCCCAAATTCAAGCCATGCTTAGCCAAGGGTTGTTGCTAGGTCTCTTGCACTCTTCATCATCTATTTCTGTAGTAGAGGATAATCTCCTCTGGCCAGCATCACCTCTGGAAGCAGCACGGTTGGGTGGTGGCAAGCTCGGGGTGTTTGGAGTCAAAGCAAACGGTTGCGGTGATGGGGTCCTGCCACGTCCAGGCAAATTGCCTTCAGGTCTCATAGCTCCTCCAAAGGCGACGTCTGCTTTTGATGTGCTCTAAAACCCAGCCCAGCTTTCTTTTATGGCTGAAGTTCACAAGTTAAGGTCTTAATGTTGTGCTGTTAAATTTTCAGCATCTCCATTTGCAGCAGAAAGCCCTTCTGTTTGGAGGGATTTGGAATAATGCAGCTCTTCATGAGCCCTCATTATTTCTCAAAAGGTGACTGTGTTGTTCAAGTGCCCATATTGTGACAAGTGTCTAATTATGGATCCTTGCTGTAGACCCCCAGAGATGCCATTATGTCCACCTGCAGTAGAAGGGGGAAGATAATAATTTGCATTCAGCATGAGCTTTTCTCCATTATTTCTACCGCACATAAATAGGGAAAACAAATCTTATCGACCACTGATCCTCTTTTCATTTATCATACATTTCATTTTTTTAAAAGAGCAGTTTTGCTTTGCTGCTTGTCCTTGGAGTATTGTTGTTTGCTACTTCAGCATTAATATGGTTAATTGAATGTGCATCTTCGTTGGGCAATCGGCAGAAATATCTTGGCTAAAAGAGCTTTTCATCCTTTGAACAGAAAAACAAGGCTGGAGGGGATGACACACCCAAAGAGAAAAGCTTGATCAATAACCACAGGACTGGTGTATATTCACATGATTTTTCCTTTGTCTCTTTTCTTTTTTTATTTTATTTGGTATGCTCTTTTCCCCCTCTTCTCACTACCTTTCTGATGATTGAAATTCTCAGACTTGTAGGTCAAAACACCTCCCCATCAGTCTCTATTTACACCGATAGGTAAGAACAGTTTGGAGGAGAAAGTACCTAAATAAATATGATGTACGTTTTGGCACAAGCTTCTAATATCTGAATTAAAAGAGGGGAGTAATGAATGCTCATAGGTTGACATGAGCAGACACACCACATCTCCCCATGAGGCTGTCCTGTGCTTTTCATTGCATTTCATAATTACTCCCACTGACAAGATCCCTGCAGAAATAGGAGGAGGACAAAAATACAAGCTCTGGAAGCTGGAAAGACCTCATTCTGAGTCTGGTTTTCTCTAATGACGAGCCTCTTTTAGACCTTCACAGGAGGATAACATCTGCAAATGTTTTGTTTTCCTGTGTTTCGTCTCCTCTTTGCATAATTCAGATGACAAAATGTAACGTTTAACACAGCAGAGCCCGGGTTGTGTTTGCCCCTTCCTGTTTCTGATGGCATTAAGCTCAAAGCAAAGAAATCCCAGGGAAAGAAGGCAGGGCAAGGATGGACCTCGTCCATGAGAGGTCCTAGAAACACAGGATGGTTTGGGTGGGAAGGGACCTCAAAGCCCTCCCAGCCCAACCTCCCATGGGTAGGGACAACTCCACCAGCCCAGGCTGCTCCAAGCCCCGTCCAACTAAAGAAAGATCAATGCAAAATGACTTAAGAATAGGAAACTTTCTCTTTGGCATGTACTGGTGTGTGCTCTAACATTGCTTGACTTTCCTTAGGACAAATTTAGTGAAAACAAGCAATGTTTTGTCATGCGTTTGAGAAATCAACCTTAGGTTTTTCATACAAAAACCTGGTGAAACACTTCTGTACCCCGGATGCAGTGTGAGTTGTCATTTCTCTCTGTTGTGCAAATGTTTAGCTAAATAACGCACTGCAATAGCGCGCACGTCTGTGACGTGGCAAAGGACAGCTCATCTGCATTTTCACTGGGGAGGCTGCAGAGGAGACGATGAGGTGGGGGCAATATCCCTCTTGTGTTTCCAGCTCACCAGTGTCATTTCGCATTATTTGTGCCAGGTACCATAGCTGTCACCAAGTGTTTCTCCGCTTGGTTTAGCGCAGCTTGTTTTGATATCTCTATTTTAGTCGGCTGGGCCATGAAACACTCGCGCAGAGACGCTTTGGGGTGCTTCTGCTCACCTTTGCTGGGAGCTTGATTCAGTTTTACCCTCCCCTGCCCACACCTGGGCCATGGAAGTGTGAGGTAATGGTAAAGGGAAACCATTGCCATGAACCCTTTAAAGAAGTGGATGGAGGCAAATCATTCCAAAATGTGCTTCTGGAAGAAGATACTGAACAAAACAACTCAAAACACAGAGGGAGAGGGCGGTTGCTGACTGAGCATCAATGCTTGGCTCCGAAACTGCCTGAGCAGTCTCTGGTTTCTTTGTTTTCCCCATTTTTGCTCCTGTTTCCCACAGGCAAAGCCTATGCTCCCGAGTTCTACTATGACACCTACAACCCTCTGTGGCAGAACAGGCCCCGCGTCTACTCTTACAGCCTCCAGTGGACACAGATGAACCCCAACGCTGTGGACCGCATCCTCGCCTACCGCTTGGGGATCAGGCAGGTGAGGAGAGACGTTCATTTCTGCAGGATGTGCCTCATGAGTGCTGACCCCTGTGAGGGCAGCCAAGCTTTTATTTTGTTTTATTTTGGTTTTGTTTTGGTTTACTTTGTTTCATTTCATATTTCATTTTCCTTAATTTCTTTTAATTTCAGTATTTCTTTATGTCATTTTACTTTTTTTTTTCCTTCCTCTTTTCATCTTCCATGGTCAGAGTTGTTTCTCCTCCTTCTGGAAGGCTTACTGCCATCTTGCAGAATTAGTCCTCTGCCGCTTGCAGATCCTGGAAACTCATTTTCACATTTGCAGAGTGAAAGGCAGAGATTAAAGAGCTGCTCCTCAGAGGGTTTGCAGAGGCTGTGGCTGTAGATATGCTAAAAAGATTACATGAAAGAAATTTGCAGTGAAATTAACCTTTATATCTCTCTGTATGTATCTATATAGCTTTTATTAGATCTCCCATGTAAATAGATCAATATGGGGATAGCTGTAGCTTTCCTACGGAAACACGTGGTGATCCTTGAGGACCCAGACACCTCTTGGCCACATTAAAGCCAATCACACTTCCTCATAGAGTCACTGTGAGCTTTTCAATGGGAATTGGCCCTGTTAAGGAAACCACTTGCAGAGGAATTGTTAAATTACAATAGCCATCCCTGTTAACTTTCCCTTTAACAATTTTAAAATAAAAATATCATCTGTCTTCTTTGAAGGTTATTGCTACAAAGCTGGGGTTTTAATTGTCAATTATAGTGAAAGAACCACTCTGTGCATTGCTTAAACTCTTGATAAATGGCAACACCTCTGCTTGCTCCCGTCTGCAGGGCACAGTGACCTTCTACAGCAAAGCCCAGACAAAACCTCACTATGTTCTAAAGGCAGAAAGTTCTTGGGCCATAACACTCATTCACAATCCTGTCTAGAGTCTGTCCATGCCAAACCCTACAGGCTTGGGTTTTGGTATTTTTAGGCTTGCTCAGGGAAAAATAGATGGTTTGAAAATAATGATCCTTGCTCTGAACATCTCCTTGGCCACCGTGTCTACCTCTAAGCTGTACATTACCCGTTGGGCTGCAGGCTGGCAGTGGAGGCTGGGAGAATTGGAGAAACCACCTCATCTTGTGTTGGGCTGGATTTTTTTTTAGTTTGCTTTTCTTTAAATAACACCACAGTTGATTGTTTTAGAAAATGCATGATGTATGCCTGAAATAATAGTTTGTGTGGGGAGAAAGAGTTTGGGGATTAAGACAGATTCTTGAAGACGTTTATTTTTGAAAATATGAGGGCATAAAGTATTTTGCTATCCCACAGATCTCCTACTGGAGTGAGTTTTGTAAGCTGCAGAATAAATATACAATTTGAGCATGTTATTTATGCGGAGTGGAGAGGGGTTTTTTTGTTTTTGTAAGTTCTGTGGTGGTTGTGGAGTTGCCTGGGACACATCCAGGTAAGGGCTTTGATACCTGCGGGGTGCAGCTCTGCATCGCTCAGAGTTTGTCTCTGCCCGAATCGAACTAATTTGAAATGAAAATGGGTGACTTTTAATACATGTTTATGCAACTGTTTGCATCATTGGGCACAAATCAGTTCTGTTACTGCCAGTACCCAAGAGAAATTATTAAATTAAAAAAGAAGAATTTACTGAAGTAAAAGAATATATAATGAAATTATTGCATTAGGATTTATAGCTTCTTTTTTCCTAATTTCATTTTAATTTACTTTTAATTATCTATTTATATAATTATGTAGAGTTACTTCACTCTAATTTCCTTGACAACACTCTTTGTCAAGCTAATCAAAATATTTTCCTTTCGTCTGTCTGAAGCCACATGTAAAAAGTGATTTAGAGCCTAGTGAGTTGTCCGAACACACTTGTCCATCATTGCAGTAATTCCCCTGGAAATAAGGGTGATAATTAAACTTTTTAATTTTTTTGACATTTACCGATAGTAGCTAGCAGCAGATTTCCTTCCGAACTGTTTGTGTTTAGATAGTTTGTTTGACTCAGCAATGTATTTTTAACTGGGTTTTGCTCCAATTTTTATTTAATGATAAAAGTGGGGCATCCTTTGGGAGTGGCAGCAGCAGAGAGCTGCTGTTGTAAAGTGACCACTCTTAATCTTTATTTTAATCTTCTAAAGCATCACAAAACACCAGGCTGTGTAGTGGGTCAGCGCGTTGGTATCTGCCTCTGATTTGATCATCACCATCGCCTTTATCTGATCAGTAAATTGCTTTTGTATGGATGTGAACATCAGCTCCCAAGCATTACTTCCTCTTCATCTGCCCTCTGCACCATTGCTTCACTCAAGGCCAAATCCAGGCGGTATTTTGGGACTATTTAGTGGATAGCAGGTTTAGGCTTGCTAAATTTTCTGTGGCATTGTTAAAATCTCTAATACTGACAAAATTTTTAATGTCATTTTATAAAAAACAAGTTTTTTTATAAGGCACAGAGTACTTTAGCTCCATTTCTGCATTTGAAAGCAACGCAAAGTCTGTGCTTAATCATGAAACTTCTGAAGGGCAAGGGAATGAATGTGGCAGGGCAGGGACTTCTCTTAAAGAGAAATTGTTCTGCTCACAGTAATTAAATTATACAGCATTATAACAACAGGGAAGTAACTCCACGGATTGGTGTATGGTGAGATTGTAGAGCTGGAGATGTCTCCGTTGTGACCACCTCAGAGTTTTGGAAAGCTGGCAACAGAAACTGTGGAGGGAAATGTCCAGTGCAGGAGGTTTAGTGCAGGAGGAACAGAGATGCTGAAGCACAGGAGTCGTACAATGCAATGAAAATAATTTAGTTCTGGTTACGCAGAGGTCCAAGCAAGAGGTATGAGCTATGTCACCATGGGTGCCTGGAGCAACTAACAGGACCTTCAGGATTCTGGGGTTGCTTTGTACCATCAAAAATAAATGTTTCAAGAACAAAACTAATCCATTTCATAGAAAATTGAAAATCTATAAGAATCACTGCATTTATACATATATTATCTATATGTCTTTCATTAAGATAATTTTATAGCTCTTCCTCCACCTTTTTATTATTCACAGAAGTTTGTTCAGTCGAGTGTCCTGCTGGCACAGCAGTGTGTGATGGACGCTCCCTCCTGGGAGAACCAGACAGGAACAGAAATTATTCAGAGCACTTTGCTTTCTGCTTTAGCCCCGTCACTCCTGTTGTTGCCTTCTGGGGATTTGTTCTGTGCTTAGCATTATTTTTAAACAGGCACGGGCTCTTGTGTTCCTTTTGAGTTGCTGCAGCACGTGGGCAGTGGCTTCCCGGTGCTGGGCTTTAATCGACTTCAAGGATACAGAGCTGCAGTGTCTGCCAAGCTGCTGTGACAGATCATCCAGCTCTTCTTTACTTGAGCAGTGACAAATAACTGGTTAAAATTGAGGTGCTAATTAAATGGCATGGAGTTTCCTTGTTGAGTGAGTGTAAGTACTCATAGCCCTCATGCGTGTCTTGAGCAGACGGCCTAGCTCTGCAGTATTATGGATTATTATGGATTATGGATTTATTATGGATGTGGTCTTCTCCACATGGAGATTTCTGGCTTGTTCACTTAGAAAAAAACCCACATTTAGTTGAGAGATTATAGCAAGGGATGTGGTCTGATTTGCAGTTCTTGTAAGACCAGTCTAGACAATTTTGGCAGGCTAAAAGAGACTTGGAGTGGTTGATTCCTTTCCCGAAAGGAGGAAAGCCCTTGAGGACAATGGATTCAGTCTATGGCCAGTTCTGCTGCTAGCCTTTGCCGTAAAGATTGAGTCAGAAGTTGGCACAGAGATACCATAATATATATTATTTCTACTTCTCTTGGGCCACCAGAGCCAAAGCATTTTGAAAATGCTTATATCTCCCAGTCTCTGATAGATTAGGCAAATTCTTATGCACAGTTTTGAAAAATAAATTTCTACTGATTATGTCTTCAGAAATTCAGAGGTGAAAGTTCTACACGTAGAACATCTTTTTCTGTCAGGTCCTGATAATCTGACTTGGATCCCAAAGATGCTCCTGACTGTAACCAATCCCCCTGGTCAGAGAACGGAGCTGTGCGCCCCCAGAGTTGCTTGGTTTGGAGGCTGTGGGCTGTATTTTAGAGATGCAAACAGAAACACCCCAGGCAGAGCTGGGCACATTCACCTTACCACAAAATGTGGACCGTAGAACTAAACCCCCTTTCTTTACAAAAATTTAGAAAAATCTAGCATATTCATTTGATCCAAGCACTTACTGCCTGCTGGGACTGCCTTGGTTTGATTTTCATTATGTAAGCATAGAGTCCTGGTATTTCATTACTAATTTTAATAACTAATTAATATTAATTTTTTAGTCTGGTTTCTTAAGGAAACAAGACACACGAGGATCCCTTAAGTGCCTGCCTGTGATTTCGGAAGCCAGCTCTTCGTTTTGGTGCGATCTGATGGGGAAGAGAGGTGGGGTGGGCAAGGAGGGTCCCACCAGTGTTGTGAAAGGAGAAAGATGTAATTATGGAAAAAAATTGAAGGCAAGGTTCACATTAATCAGAAAGAAAAGAAAAAATCCATGGACCTGAGGCAGACTGCATGAATTCCCTTGCTTCATCACAAGCTCTGTGGAACCCCCTCCTGGGACACCTTGCATTTTTTGGGCAGTATCTAATCTTTCCCTTGTCTCAGGGATGTCTATACATTTCTCTGCATATATTTATACATTGCGGGAGCCAGACTATTACCAACTCTCCTGCTTGACTTTGGCCAACAGTGGCAAAGTAGTGATTCCCTAAAGGACAAATCCTGAAGCTGTGGCGTTGACAGCACGTGAGCTTTTCATTGCACATTTCCTTTCACCGAAAGAAAAAAGTACTGAATATTCGCTGTATTGCTGGTCTTTGGTAACAAATGGATGTGCTCTTGTGTGGCAAAGAAAGCTGCCGCATCCCTTAGCATCTCCCCTCTGCTCTGGGATGAGCAATTTTGGCAACCTGTATTGCAGTTTTACCTTTGTATTGATC